TCTAATCATATTTGAGGTTTCGAGCTATGGTTTAAATTTAGGATTTGGAGTCTCTAGGTCGGAATTTTGAGGTCCCAATAGAACTTCAAATTCTTAAGAAGAGATGAACTAGACACATGATCTTAAGTTGTATTGATGAAAGGACATTGCTCGGGAAGGAGGCATTCCAACTTTCTGCAAATTACAGTTTAATACATATGCAAAAATAATTCATAAAAAGCACAAAAAGAAAAATTTATACACACATGTCAAACTCTGATTGACAGAAAAGTGAGAGTTCCTAAAGAGAAAAAGGCAATTATTTTCCATAAATACACCAAAATGCACAACAACTAAATCCCAAAACAGTACAACATCAAGCTGTATTGAATCGATTTACAAGCCATGTGAGCTAGAAGTGGGAAACTCTCCTCTCTCTCTCTCTCTCTCTCTCTCTCTCTCTCTCTCTCTCTCTCTCATGTTTGTGGGGCTAAAAAACCATGTGCACATCACTTTCCAATTCATGTTCTTATGTCACATGCATACTTAGCCCCACCTTCAATAACCATTCATTCCCTGTGCTTTCACCACCGGAGGCCCATTCTCCTTTAACCCTTCTAACCCACAATAACAAAAATTGAAAAATAATAATCCAAAGTCCTATCCCCAAAAGCATTTCACCATCCCATTTCTTCCACATAATCCTACCACCTAACCCTTTTCCTCCCTCAAGAAACCCAAGAAAAAAAATATGGAAAAATAATAAAAATAAAAACTTTTCCTCCCTCATTCCTTCCCCACCAATTCCACTACACACCAATGACACCATTTGCACCAATTCATCACTTCTCCATCTACCAATTCCAGCAAGCCAACTACCCTTTTTACTAGGGCATCTAAAATATCTTTTTCTTTTTCCTCCTTTTTTTTTTCCTTTTGTAATTAATTGGTTGAGTTTTTTTAAAGCTGTTTGGTATATTCTCCCATGCACCTTTATCTCACAGTTTGTGTATGATTATGTGTATCAGTGTATGTATCAAATGGTCTTATGCAAAAGATACATTACAATTCAATAAGAATCCATGATATCCATCCAACTACTAGAGCCAGGAGTCCAAAAACATCTTTTTGTGACATGAAAAAAAAAAAAAAAAAAAAAAGCCAAATAAAGACTAAAAAAAAATAACATAG